TCTTTCCCTTTTTGGTGGGACAGAGCCCCAGGAGGGGTAGGAAGTCAGGGAAAGGGCCTGGACCACACGCGAAGAAAGGAGCATGGTCCCAGGAGAATTCTAGCTCCCACTGTCTAACCTGGCACATCCTCCCTTTCCTCAGGGATCCCTCATGATGCCCTCTGCCCCTAGAGGCTGGTTTCCAGGGCCGAGGGAACTGAGTGAGCTGCCAGAGAAAGAGGGTGGGGAACAGGTAAGGAAGCATCTAGACGGCAGAACAAAGAAAGGAGGTGGCTTGACACTGCTCAGGATGGGACCAAGAAGCTGGAGAGAGTACAGGAGGCAGGGAGAAGGGGCAGGCAAGGAGACAGTGATCAGGGAGTGTACTGCCCAAAGGTAGGATGAGTCTGCTTAGAATGGGCACATGGAGCCGGCAGAGGACAAGGCAGGAGGGGTTAACGACTCTTCCTTTTACAGAAGGGAGATCTAGGGTGGCACCTCCTCTTCCCTAACGTCTCTTCTCTCCCTCAGGATCCCCTTTCCTGAATTACCATTCCCCGCCCCCTCAGAAGCCCAGACAGCCATTCTGCCTCCAGCCTCCATTCTCCCCAGAGCCCCCCCCCCCCCTTCCTGACTCCCCATTTCCCTGGCCCAGCTCCCAGTAGCTTCCCCCAGGCTCTTGGCCCTGCTCCTACCCACTCCCAACTGCCCTAAACCCGCCCCCAGCCTCAAGTCAGCCAGCCCCCAGCACAGGAAAGACATGCTCTCTCAGGAACCCAGAAGTACCCTATGTCAATCCATCAGAGGGAATCCCCACCTGGTTCCCCTTTTCGGCCCCTCCCCATTTCCTGGCCCAGCTCCCAGTAGCTTCCCCCAGGCTCTTGGCCCTGCTCCTACCCACTCCCAACTGCCCTAAACCCGCCCCCAGCCTCAAGTCAGCCAGCCCCCAGCACAGGAAAGACATGCTCTCTCAGGAACCCAGAAGTACCCTATGTCAATCCATCAGAGGGAATCCCCACCTGGTTCCCCTTTTCGGCCCCACCTTGTCCTAAGAACCCAGTGGTTCCTGGAATATCTAGTAATCTTTTGTTTTTCATTCCCCATGGGACAGGGAGAGGGTGGTTGTAGCATTGTGGGTACAGGAAAATTAGGGAACTGAGAGAAACAGGAACCCAGTGCCTGGGATGGAGAGAGTGCTTGGGGAGGAAGAGGTAATGTTAGGGAAAGGAAGTAGAATGACTTCCTTGGTTTGGGACTGGAGAGAACTCAGCAAAGAAGTCTTGGGGGTGGATTCTCAAGACAAGGAAGGAAAGGGCTCAGAAGTAGGGGCAATTTCTGCTCACCCCATGCTATGGCCACTCCTTTCCCCAGGATATCCCCAGGAAGGAGAGTACCGTCAGCACTTTCCTTTCCCAGAGGCAGACCACCTGCCCCTGCCCCCATTCCTCTATTCACTCTCTGCCTAGTCACCTCCTGTCCTCCACATCCCATCCGCCAGTATACTTCCTTTTCCACTCCCTTCCTGCTCAGGTTGCTGATACCTGCCCTGGTGACCATCACTTCCTGTATCACCCACCCGCTTCGGACTGCAGGACCCACCTCTTGACCCACCACACGCCCTGACCCTGGTCCTAAGGGGAGGGGGTTGGTGTTGCAGGAGTCAGACAAAGGATGGGAGACCAGTAGGGGCAGGAGCAAGAGGAGCTGTCACCAGAGGACTCTTACTGCCCTTCTGCACCCGCATCTGAGATGAGGACAAAGGGGGCAAGTAAGCAGTGAGAGACAAAAGGCCTTAGAGTAACAGCAGCAGTGTGTGTGTGGGGAGTGTTGGCAGCCGGGAGAAGGCACAAAAGATGCAGTGTCCTAGGCAGCCCCCCAGGATCCCTCACCCTAGCTCCAGCTCAAGTTGCCCCTAGGGCCAAGCAGCCCGGAGTCTATCCTGTCTTCTCCTAGGCTGGATTAGGGCAAATAAACGCAGTCCCAACATCGTCCTCCCTCACTATCACCACATTCACTGTGTTTCAGCTATACCAGGAGAGAAGGCCCAGGGAGACGGTGGGGAATGAGAGGGGGCAGGGAGGCACAGCCTCTGCCTGGCTCTGTGAGGGCCGCCGAGCCCACCCAGGTGTCCCAGTCAGTTCCCACAGTCAGGGATATGGCCTCACCCTTTGGTACAGGTCCCATTAGGTCAACTCCCAGGCTAGAAGTCTGGCTTTCCCCTCTTTCTTTGCAGCTAAGAATTCCCTGTCTCTGCCACTCTCCTGGTCTGTCTGCCCCACCCTGCTGTCCTGCTGGTGAGCTGTGGCCCAGGCACCCTGTCTGGAGGAGATCTGGGGAAGGCCTCTTTCCAGGCCCCAAGTGGGAGGGATGTGCAAAGTTAACGGGTGGCCCAGCTGGGGCTAGGCTTGGAGGCAGAGAGAACGGGAACTAGCTCCAAGGCTGGAACTCCTCTTTGTCTCTTCCACACAGGATTAGGATCAGACTCCTGGTGGTGCTACAGTTCTATGCCGTTGGCCAGTACAGAGGCCAGGTCAGAAAGATATGAGGTAAAAGAGACTGACCCACGGTGGAAGTGGGGTACGAGGCATCGCTAAGGGCACTTCCGGGGTCTGTAATTCTGTGGGCTCTGGAAGCCTGGCAGATATCAGGGTCACCCATAGGGGACCTCCAATCCTCATGAGGTGGCTCCTACACACCCCAGCAGCCCGTTCCAATGCTGGTGGCCTTCGCATCCTACTCTTTTTTCATTTCACTTTGACAGGAGCTCTCAGACCCGCCCAGCCCCGCTTGGGCCCTTTTTCCCTAACCCATTTAGGCCGTCTGGAAATTAGCTAGCTCTCCCGGCTCCGAATCTTTTGGATTCGGGGATAAGGAGGTAATTGGCAAAGCCCGGGTCTACCCCAGAAGGGCAGGGCTCAGACACAACCAAAGAGCACGGCTACAGCAGCGGTGCAGCTCAGGTGAGGAGTGGGGAAGGGCCCCCATGTGAGTGTCCGCCTGGCTCCGGGTGGCAGGGCACTTTCTAAGGCGCGCAGGCAACTCGGCGATGGTGCGCGAGGGCGCCGCCGCCCGCAGCAGGAACTGCAGGTTTCTCCTGCTCAGCCTTAGAAGAGCCCACCAGGAGCGGTGGGAAGCAAGGGCCCCTGCCTCCGGTATTTAAGCGAAAGTGAAGCCGGGGTGCAGAACCCGGATGTTGTCAGCTTCGCGCTCGGCGACCCCGCCAGCTTCCAAGAGGGCGGCTGAGTGGTGCCAATAGGCGAGAAGCCCACAGGAGGCGCGCAAGAGGCACTTCCGCCCGGTTCTCCTTCCCGTTGTCTGTGGCGGGGCAAGATGGCGACGCTCAGGGCTCTATGCGGCCTCCGGGGCGTCGCGGCCCTGGTGCTGCGGCCCGGGGCTGGGGCCCGACTGCCGATTCAGCCCACCAGGTGAGACCAAGGGCAGCCCTCGGTGCGCTGTCCCCAGGGCTAGGGTTTCTCGAGTTCGGGGACTCCACGGGCCCTGTGACCCCCTAGGAAAGAATGACCCAGGCCCGTGACCCCTCACCCAGACCTGCTCTATCGAGTTCCAGGGTCCCGTGGTGCCTGCATTGACCGAGGGAGGAAAGAGGGTTTGAGCTCGAACTGCCAGAGGTGAAATCAGTTGGAGGGAGACCCTGCGCCGCAGTGTTAGTGACAATGTCACCCTCCCTTTATGTCCTGCTGCTTTTCCCAATCCCCTTCACGGGTGGGGCGCGACTGGTGAAAAGTCTCCTTAGACGCTGTGGAAGAAGAGGAGAGCAACCCCGATAGACTTAAAGGAGGAACGTAAACCAAGAATCCCCGGGTTGGCCTCAGTGCATTGTTCTGGCCGTACTTGAGCAGAGCCAAGGAGCCAGCATGCCCCAGCCCCCTTTCTTTTCTTACTCTTGGGTTGACCTTGAATAAACACCTTTCTTGAGTTCATATTCACCAGGATGGGAATATGAATATGACCAGAATTGAAAGGAGCTGGGATCCCCAGCTTTGCATGTGTACGGGTGATAGGTGAAGTGATTTCAGGAATAAGTTGTTAGTAAGGATGGAACCTCTAGAGTTCCAGTTTGTTCTGCCAAAGCGACACAACTCTGTGTCAGTGACTTGACATTGAAGAATCCAAGACACCCTTCCCTGGGCCCACCTGAAAGTGAATGGGAACAGAGGAACCAGGCACTGTTCAGGCCCTTTGTCTAGGATCTGTCATTACCTCCCCAGAGGTGCTCGGCAATGGCAGCCAGATGTGGAATGGGCAGAGCAGTTTGGGGGCGCTGTCATGTACCCCACCAAGGAAACAGCCCACTGGAAGCCTCCACCTTGGAATGGTGAGTGCGCAGTGCCACTGTCCCAACCTACACCCCTCCATACCCCAAGCTGATTTCTAAGTGCTCTTGAGCTCTCCGTGTGAGGCAAATTTTAGCCGCCAGCTCTTTTTGCTTCTTTAACCTTGCAACACAACAAACATGACAATAGTGATAATAGGAGGTATTTGTCAAGTAGAATATTCCAAGAGAAAAGAAAGAGAAGGTCCCGGTCAACCCTCGAAGATCCCTACCAAATTTATATCTTTAGCTTCAGCTTTTTCCAGAGATTCAGTATATTTCCATCTCCCTCTCTTGACAAGGTGGTTTTTCCCACTGGCACCCAAATGAAACCTTTCTGAATACGAAA